GCCTCAGTACCTAGCTCAGAGGCTGTGCTAGAGTGTGGACAAACAGAAAAGAGGGGCCCATCTTAAGCAATGAACAACCAGATCTCTAAGCTTCTTAGAAAAAGATGCTCAGTAGAAATAGGTTGTCTGACCACTCAGTTGGGCCCTGTAGAAGCTGCTTAGGAAGGTATCAGAAACAGTCTACGCTGACATAAGGAACTGTCCAATTGTAAACAGAATACATGGAGAGGATGATCCAGTGAAATTCTGAGATGGGGGCAAAGCAATAAAGAAAAACCAGCCTTTCCAACTTGTAGAAACTCCTCCAACTTGGGAAATGAATTAGAGGAGAAATAGGAACAGCTTTAAAGTGAAAAGTGTACTCTTAATGTTTGAGAACAAATGTGTTCTGGTCAGAAATACCTCATTTCACTGCTCCTAAAAATGCTTCCATCGGTGCATTTTTCCTTCTTTATCCTCCTGCTGGGCCCTTTCTGACCAGGCTTCCCATTCTCTCCCTGCACTCCACACATGCCAGTAGAACACTACTTATCTCAAAGAAGACCGGTGCACTCGAAGACAACTTGATCCTACAACACTCTATTTCAGTGGTCTCTAGATTTTTTATTGTGTGCCCAGCCATGGAAAACAATCTAATTATACCTGTAAAACATATGCATATTTATACATCAATTACATAATGATGACAATCAGCCCATACGCTAAGCACTAGTAAATTTGCACTTTAGACCACTAGAATAGCCACATTTTCTCTAAAGAGTGAGGGAATGAAAGATTTTGTGGCAAAGACAGGGCTGGACTGGACTGGACCCCACCCCTTTGCCATGTGGGAAGGAAGGGCCCCTCTGTCCAGGATGCACCCAAGTTCTCTGAGGTCAGGCTCTGGAAACAGGGCACAGGGTTGGTTTTCAGCTGCAAATCCTCCAACTGACACATCTCAGCATGATAAAAGATCTCAAGCTGCTTCATTTCCCTATTTCCTCCATTCAAGACAGCTTCATCCATGAGGAATTTTCCCACCAACCTGTTACTTAATGGGTTTCTCAACCATTGAGGATCCCTGCATAGCTCCATTATCTCATTAAGACTTATACAATGCTGATTTTCTAATTCTTGGGTACGTTTGCATTTATTAGCTGTGATTTCCTCATGATTAACAACTTTTTCTCATCAACTATTTGATTGTCTTCAAATACAATTTGTCTTAGAAAATCAAGATCAAAGCAGAGTTTCCCTTTGTCTTTCAGAGTAATGAAGAGGTGTCCTAGCAACTTGCTAAGGTGCCGGACTGATTTTGTGAGTTTTTCTTGTTTGAAGTATCATGGATTCTGGACTCATGGATTATTTGTCATTGGTCTGATTTCAACCTACTGCAGTCATTATTCATTTTGATGCTCTAACTAACCTGTCTTTGGCTCCTGTCTCCTTCTGACTCCACCCCGCTGGTCTGCCTTAGCTTCCTTGCTGTCTGGCATGACAAGATGTCCCATCCTGAATGCTTCCGGCCCTAGACTGGGAATCAGATACTTATCTAAGCAGGAGGTTCCTTTTGGTGGGAATTGTATTTAGGGAATCCCAGTCTGAGTGCTAAGAATACTGCCTGCTAGTGAGTCACCTTTACTTTTGATCCTTTTCAAAGTACCAGGCTGGGGAACACTATCTTTTTAAAGAGAAAAAAATAAATTCATATTGATATTTCCTATTCACATTAAGTATTAGAGTCTTTAAGTACTCCTGCTTTCTTGTATGCTGAAAATTTTGATTTCTACAGTATACTTGCAATATTTTCAGATAATAATATAAATGTTTCCCCTATAAATGTATGGTCCAAAGACTGTTTCAAAGTCACTTGAAATCATTTATTTTCTCTGTGTGAGAGATTAACACTAACCTGATATATCACTAGGTTTGCTTCATTTTTCAACCTGTTCCATTTATTAGTGAATGCTTTTCTCTTTTTGATTTTTCTTTTTAAGCTATGTAAAACAATGAATGGTTCCAAAGTCAAAGTAAGGTATGTTAAAAAACACCTACTTTCTATCCCTGACTCTGCACACCCCTCCTCCAGTGATAATCATTTTTATTAGCTTATTTATTCTTCCATTGTTTCTTCTGAAAATACAAGCAAATTCATACACATGAATGTATTCACACGTTCCTCTTCCATACCCTTCTTTTACATAAGGGAGTAACCATGTGTGCTGCCCTGCACTTTGGTTTTTATAACCTCATGTATCCTAAACATCTCCCTCCAGAGCAGTGGAGACCTCACCCTTGCTTTCCCCAGTTACACAGCACTTCACTCTATCAGTGGACCTGTTATTCACTCAGTCGCCTGTTAGGAACATTTGGGGTATTTCTAGTCATTTTATTCTTTAATCCCCACCTAAGGATATGTTCATTGATTTTAAAAAGAGAGGAGGAGAGCCCTGGCTGGTATGGCTCAGTGAACTGAGTATCAGCCTGTGAACCAAAGGGTTGCCGGTTCGATTCCCAGTCAGAGCACATTACATGCCTGGGTTGCAGGCCAGGCCCCCAGGAAGGGGCATGCAAGAGGCAACTACACACTGTTGTTTCCCTCTTTCTTCCCTTCTTCTCTCTAAAAATAAATAAATAAAATCTTAAAAAAATAAAATGAAAATAAAAAGAGAGGAAGAGAGAAAGAGAGAGACCACAGACAGACACTGATGTGAGAGAGAAACAGCAGTCAGTTGCCCTCCTTATGTGCCCTGGTTGGGGATCAAACCTAAAACCCCCTGGCAGATGAGACAACACTCCAACACAGTCACCCAGCCAGGGCTCTAGTCTTTGTCTGTTATAAATAGTGCCGCAATAAATGGCCTTTGCACGTGCCTCTTTAAATTTTGCTCACATATCTTTGGGATAGAGTCCTGTTCAGTTCAGGGAAAGATGCACAGATAGTTTGGCTGGATGGTGACATACGCCCTCTCCCAGTTGGTGCCGTACTGCATTCTCACCCACAGGGTAGGAAAAGACGGCTTCCCGGAGCCACACTATTGGAAGAGCTAGGCTAGCAACCTTTCGGATGTTGGCTTGATATGTGGGACATGGTATCTTGGTGCGGTCTGAAAACTCATTTCTGTTTATTGTGAGTGAGGTTAACATGTTTTAATATGTTTGAAGTAATATATTTCATTATTTTCTGAACCAGTAATAGCTTTTGCCCACTTTCATATTAGATCGTAGAACTTTTTACTCATGTTTTAGAAGTTGTTTATATATTAGTGATACTAACTGTCTGCTACAGAATTTGCTTATGGTGTTATTGTTATTTTTGCCATAGTTTCTTTTTGTTTTAAGGGCTGTCATATGCATCCGTTTCCCCTTGATTCCTGCTGAATATGAGTCTGTTAGGATGCTTATACACTTCCCAGGTTAGCAGGAATTAATGTGGTTTCACCTCTAATTACATTGGAAGCAATGAATTTCTTTCAGTTCAATCAACCAACACTGTGGAAATCCTCCATTCATGTTCAACAAAACAGGTTTTTCAGGACTCTGAATTCTAACACTCTAAAAGAAAACTTTATAACACTTTCTGGAAAAGTTCTTATTTTTACCCCCTAGATGCAGAAAAACACCATCTCATGGAGGGCATACACATATCAGTTCTGGCCATTTTCGACACAGCTAACATTTTTTTTCATTTGATGTACCACACAGGTCACTTCTTACATTATTTTGTACCACCTGATCCCAGCCTTTCAAAGTTACACATGCTTCACCATGGTGACCAGCCATCTGTCACTGAACATGCCATATATTAGTTTGTCCCCTAAAGTGTGCCCCATGGACAGGATGATATAGTTCAAGAACAATAATAATCACGTTTACCACACACATAACATGCTCTCACAAATCTCTCTGAGCTAAAAACATTTAAACATGAACGGATTGTTAAAATTAACCCTTCTTAATTCTCCCCCTTCTCATACCGTACACCCAGGGCTTAGTCCAGTGTGTCTGCTGTCACCCTTAGTGAGCCTGAGAAAAAAGTCACCTTCAGGTGGCTGCAGATGAGCGGGTGTGGCAGCCACATGGGCAAAGGCAGGGTAGGGGTCCCTTGGGTCACAACCATACAAAGGAAATAGATTTACCTCTTAGATAATTCATTCTAGGATAGAAACCTCTTGAATAAAATTACCTGATAATTCTGGAAAATGAGAATTCTCCACTCTTGGGCGTCTCAATGAACTGTTTTGCTCATGTGACCTTCCATTTACAGAATCAAACTTCACCTCATCACCAAGAGCTACTGACTTAAATAACAAATCTGGCCTCAGAGTACTCAGCTAATTAGGAAGGAAATGAGGCTAGAGGCAGGTAAACTGATAGAAGCAGTAAGAGATGGTGAAAGTGGGGGACAAAAACCACTACAGAAACAGAAAAATGCTAAGAGCCTGCCGCTACGGCCCATCAGGGCACTGTCTCCAGTGCGCCCACTGCCCAGGAACAGAGAAGGCGAGGTCTCCTTCTGGGTCTCGTGTTAAGGAAGTCAGTAATGAATGAAATTGAGTTTCTAAAAGGTTCCATTTAATAGAGGCTAACTTTTTTCCTTACAAAGTTTAATGGGGAAATAATGAAGGTTTAATTATTTGGAAAATGTGTGGACACAGAAGACCTCATTCCTCATCACTGATCCAGCGGACCCTAAACAGCACCTGTGTGGCGGGAAGCAGGTTTCGTGCCTGCCAGCCCAAAGTTGGCCCAAGCCCCTTTCCCAGTGGTTCCTTGTGATGCTGCCTATGGGAACATTTTTCCCCAGAACATTTCTAAGGCTTTTCACAAAAGGCTCACATGGCCTTTTGATTGTAATTTAGAAAAAATCAGTTTCTCTCAAGGCCAAGGTTCAATGACACATATTTCTATGGCTCAGGGGGCCCTGGGAGTCATAACCGAAAACGCATGGCTGTCTAATTTCTTTTCCCATTTATCTTTAGTGGTGTTCTGGAAAGCAGAGGTGAAACACGAATACTCACGGAACATGGTGTAAAACTGCTGCGGGTTCAGATTCCATTTTCCCCAGGGGGTCTTGTGGCCTTTAGACTGGGCATAGTTAGCGTGGTTAAACTCTGGCTCGGTGCCAAATGAGTCCAGGACTCGGAGCATGCATCTGAAAGAAAAATATACTGTGGGTAAAACTACAACCTTGACCCAAAGTTCAGGAAGTAGAAGCTGTAGGCCCTCTTTCAGGCACTACCAAAAATGAACAGACACTTTTAATGAGAAATGCTACTGGACAGGAACTGAGAGGTTTTAGAATACGTTGTATAACCAAGCACCTCCATGTGTGACTTTTGAGTCTGGATGATCATGCAGCAGATATATCTGCTTCAGATTAATTGACTAATCACAGAAGATCAGTCAAATACCTGTGAAATACAAAGTTTCCGAAAGCTGGAACCACAGAGTGCATGTCCACTGCTGTAACCCCAGCCAGGACCGGGCATACAGTAGTGCCTAATGAACACTTAAAGAAACAAAGGACTACCATTTTTCAGAGGTTGCTATGGATGGTCTGTATCCCCCCAAAATTAAGGTTGAAATCCTAATCCCCAAAAGGGGACGGCATTAGAAGATGGGGCTGTTGGGAGACGACGAGGTCATGTGCGTGGGGCCCTCATGAATGGAAAAAGTGCTCTTACAAAGGAAACTCCACATTGCTCCTTAGCCCCTTCCACTGTGTGAGGAGGTAAGAAGCCTGAAACCTGGAAGAAAGCCCTCACTTGACCTTCTGGCACCCTGTCTCAGCCTTCCAGCTTCCAGGGCTATGGGCCATAAATGCTTGCTGTTTATAAGGCCCCCAGTCTGTGGTATCATGAAATAGCAGCCTGAGCAGATGCAGGTGGCAGTCTTATTCTGCCCAAAGCACATGGCATGCCTTATCTCTTTCAACAACCATTCAACATTTTCATCAATCACATAATCACATTTTTATAATCACAGTATGTTTAATACTCTGTTTTAAATGTGTTTTTAGGTAAAGCTTAGAAGGTCGCTTCCTAGGCAGTGGTGATTTTACGTAGCTGATGATAAGAGAATACTACTGCTTCCTCTCAGAGCCTGAGGAAGCAAGATGTTTCATTTGGCTGACCCACCAGTCTTAGAACAAAGCCTTGGGGTCGGCCAAATCGTGTCTACCACCCATTTCTGTGTGGCCTTCCAGCTAAGAATGAGCTTTACATTTTTAGATAGTATATTAAACAATAAAAATAATATTTTGTGATGTGAAAATTATAAGAAATTCAATATTCAACATTCAAAAAGTTTTATTTGAACACAGCTACACCCAGTTCTTTATGTATTTCCTGTGACTGCTGTCACGCAGTGAGAGAGGTGGAGACCACGTGGCCAGTAGAGCCTGCATCAGCGCGCACACGGCATCACTGGTCAGGAGAAAGGAATCAATACTGAAACAGAATTTATTGATTTTGATGACATTTCATTACTGATTGATTCTCAAAACACTGATGTAAATTTATCTCATAATGGCCAATTAAAACAGCACTTTTTCTGTTGTCATGTGTCAATAGTATTTCTGAACAGTGCTTATTGAACCAATAAAGCATGAAAGTAAATAAAGATTAAAGCCCACATTTCAGAATCAGAGGCTGGCAATGACTTTTAGTATTTGATTCAGTTTCTTCCTTTTCTCACTTTTAGGAAGTTCATTCTTTCAGCTTTTTAATTTTTACATCAATACATGATTCAGAAAAACAAAATGCAAACACCAGACTGGTTTTCTGAGAAAGAGCAATAGTAAACTATCAATTTGGTGTAATGATTTTTCTCATCAGACATCACCATCACTCGTCCAGACAAGGAAGAAAAGAGAAGAAAGAGGGAAGGCAGGTGGAAGGGGGCGGTCTTAACCGCAAGTGAAATACAAGCTGACCTCAGAAAGCAGTTCCTTGTTTTGGATCCCTGTGTGGCTCTTGAGCAACATGCTATCATCACAGTGACACTTTTCAAAATATCACTAAGAACATGTTATCAGCTGGCTCGGCCAACAGGCAGACAGAAATGGCGTCCACGTTCCAGGAGGAAAAAAGCTAGGGATGCAAGGAGCTGGCCACGCATGTTTTTCCTGCTCTTTGAACAGCTCAGAACATTCCTTTTTTTCTTCTTAATAAAACATTCCCATGACATAACTTACAGTTTTCATTTTAAAATAAAGATGCAAAAGGAACTGACTGGGGCCTGTGTATTTTCTTCCGAGGAAGACGGAAGTATTCAGGGAACAGCAAGGATGATAGTGGCAGCTCTACAGAAGGTTGCTGTGAGAGACGGAGGGACACACTGCCAGGTGGGGCTGCGGGAGGTCCAGCCCCTGCCAGAGGAACCGAGCTGCAATCCAGGGACCATGGCACTGTGTGCAGGCACAGCAGGACAAACAGGCACTCTGTCTTAAGGATCCTTTGCCTTGGAGGCTGTGGCTGCTTCCACTTATTTGCAATTGACTGTGTGTTCCTCTCTAGCTTTGGCTTGTCAGTCTATTTTTGACTTGGAGTTGTGCTGGTGTTATTTTCAGTTTGGATAATTAAAATAAAGTACAGTGAATAAAGATGCCTGGTAGCTGCCTGACTCCTAGAAGCCCGGACTTTTCCTCAAGTGCCTAGATGTTTGCTGTGTAATGCTGGGCTTTTTCCCAACGGAAGGCTGTAAGAATGAATGTTCTCATGTCTCAGATACTACTAATTCTACATCCTCATACTTGAAGCTTTGATTTAGAAATTGTCTGGTTTTTAGCTTATCTGGGTTTGTTTTATAACTAGAAGCAGGAAACTGATCTCTTTCTATGACAGGAGGCTTAATATAGCTTTTCTTTTTCAATCACATTCTACATATGTGGATTTTGGAATTGTGTTTGTGTTGTTAATATTTATGCCCTTCCTCTAATGTCTTTTGTGTGTGTGGAGCATGAGAAACAGACTGATGACTTAAAAAGATACTTGCCTTGCTGCCCAAGCAGCTGGCCTACTTCTAACAGGGATTCCTGCAGTTATGCCAAATGACTCCTGGAGTATTCCCTCTGCTCTGAGCCACACTATTGTGAGATGGATGCTTACAACCTCCTTGCCAGGGCCTACTTTCTAATTTGGAGCTTGATGTAAGATGTAGTACATGTTAGACTATTTGCATTTCACTGTCTTGTGTATTCTCAATGCTCAGCAAAGGCTTCACATGAAACAAAGCAGGTATGAGTTTTGCAGTACCTAGCAGTACACTAGTCACATACAAGTACTAAATAAATACTTGAGTTTTCTGCATCCCTACATATATTGGAAAGAATTTACAAAGATCAACATTTTCCAAGATCAGTATGACTCAAGGGTTTGCCCCAAATGAAAAATCAGAAGATAACTTCACACTTGATGGAATTCATACCATCTACCATCAACCAAGATGAATACAGACAGCCCTGACAATTTCTAATCTTCAAAAAGCAAAGAAACGAGCAAGAAACTTTTTAGAAAACCTGCTTGGCCTTCTGATGAAAGCTGAGCTTCAGCACACCACAAAGACTGCAGGGCTAACACACTGTCAGACCTCCTGCCAGTGACTCACCAACACCATTGACGTAGCTGATTTACGAAAGCAAGGAGGGATAAACATTACATTACACTCTACCATAAGCCCCTGAGATGGAGTCTTTTCATTCAACAAGAATCAAATACCAATCAATGGTGACCATTTTAATAATGAAATTTTCCTTTTTAATTGACCTGAATACTACCACTGAGAGTATTTTCCCATCCAAACAGCCCCTCTTAATGGTGAGGACAAGTCCAGGGTGTCCACTGTGGCCAGTTCCTATTGCACGTTTATTGGATGCCTGCCATTTGCAAAATGCTAGGACAAAACACACTGCCTTTCTTTCATTTTTAATGCTGTAGCTAAAAAGAAAAAAAACACACATTTGTTTACTTACATGGCTCAAGGACCAAGAAGAGAGATTGTTATTTCCACGTAACAGAACAAAGGTGATGGCCTGGGATTCATGACGATTTCAAGAAAACAGCAAACCCAAACCAGGGAAAACCTGATGCAAAAGGTAGAGTGCTATCCAGGCTCGAACCAAATTTTTATTTTGCTATTCTATGAGACTGTATCCAAAGGCAATGAAAAGCACAGAGTTGCGCCTCAGTCAGCCCCTTTCCTCTGCCTGGGGCGTTTCACTGCCCACTGAGAAAATCACTGCTACCGCAAGGAAGTTCTAGGACTTGGTGTTGTCCCCTCTGTGTTGTTTGACAAGAATCTCAATATTTTGAAGTTTCATGGCTTCCAATTCTAAAGGACTACCAATCTGGCATACCCTTGGAAGTGAAAGTTAATAATATTAAACTATAAACTAACCTGAAGTGAAGAAATCTAGTTCAGGCCATTAAGGATTCATTTATTGGTGAAGTTAAAAGAACACATGAGAACATCTCTTTACCAAGTATCAATAGAAAAGAAACACGTGGAGGGGTTTCCAAGTCGTTCAATTGAAAGATTTTCAGAGTGTTCTCTTAGGAAGTTGGCTTAAATTATAGACTAACATTTACTATCCTTGATAAAGGTGGTATTAACATCAAGTTTTTTACCCAAATTCAAGCAACACTGACACTATTAAATAAACATAATACTTATTTAAATTTATCCATCTTTTAAAATGTACTGGAAACTTTTACAGACCATAAGTAAAAGCCAGCATCAACTGCAGTGGATGGAAGACAACAAAAGAGCAGGGGACTTTTGCCTGCTGACGGCCAGAATGCGCAGCACCCGCACTTTGTTAAAGACACACGCAGTGTTAAAGGTAGAGCTGGAGAGACGGTAACATCAAATAAAGCCTTTTTCAGAAAGATTGAAAGAAAACTGAAAAATTAATAAACTTCATTATATAATTCAATGTCATTTAGTGTTATGCTGTATATCATGCAAAATCTTTTTATTACCTAGGTAGTTAACCAGTTATTAATGGGACAGAGAGCAAAGGAAATTAGACACTGAGCTTAATAAACTGGGAGCAGGAGCCTGCTTGCTTCACCAGGAAGCTGCAGCTTCACACCCCAGGGGACCACAGCACTGCTCTGCCAAGTGGATTAACATTCCTCCCTACCCCTCTGGTTCCAGACTGCTGGAGGAGGGGGCGCACAGGGGAAGGTATTTGACCACAGAGGTTTATCAGTCTAACTAGGGGGTGGACCTATCAAAAGCCCCCCAAAGCTTGGGAAGTTGGTTGGTTATTTTGAAAAATATCCTGAATATAACCCCCTTCTTTATTCCCTTAGGGGGTAAGGGAATTGCTCACGCTTGCTTGCTGGCTCGCTCTCTCTCTTGTTCATGACCCACACTCACCCTGTTTGTTTGTGTGCTCTCTTACCTGGGAGCACGGGACCATGTGGGTCTAGCAAGCTCCTGGGGTGCCTGCAGCTGACTGCATGGATTCTGAAGGACTAAGCTTTAATATGAAGCAAAAATGCTGGAAACTGGCTTTTGTCTTGGCCTTGCTGGAGACAAGGCTGGACTTTTTCCATGGCAGGACAGGCAGAGATGGGATCTTGGAAACCCACGGGGCAGCTTCTATTTCCACCGGAATAAACCTTGCCACATCACAATATCCTGTGCATGGGTCCTTGGAATGCTTTCCTTGTGATCTCGTGGAAGAGCCTGAGTTCCACTGACAACAGTTTCAAATACTAAATCATGCCCCACACCCACAGCAAGGGGAACACCGAACTCGTCTACTAACTAGTAAAGACTGTGAACAGGGTAGCACATGCATTAGAGTCATACTAAGCATAAGGCTTATCGTAAAAAGTGCAAGACGCCAGCATTCAGACAACCTATTCCCCCAGCTTTCTCTTCCAAGAATACTGCTGGTGGAAAGGTGAAGAGAAATGAGTCATTATCTCAAACCTAAGAAACACAAGAAATGACACTGTCCATATTTTATCAAAATTGTTATTTGATGAAATAGATGAAATTGTTGTAGGCATACTGAGAGAGGTAGTAGGAAAGGTAAAAAGGACGTTGGACATTTGTTTTCTATTTTTAAAAGAATGATTTCTTTTAAAAGAAATCAATGAAAATCATGAATAGCCCTTGAAAGTAAGAAGTCAATAGAGAGAATCTGAATTTCAATTCAGAAATGAGAAACATACTCCTCACAGTTCAAAAGATATTTGATAAGCTTTTTTCTATCTATAACCATTCAACTGTGTTTAAAAAAATAATAAAAAGCTCTACAAGCTTAAGAACTGCATGTAACACTTACTGGTAATGAACCCAGGATGGTCCGAGAGTTTTCTTGAATTGAGCAAGTCCTACGATATCGATGTAAATGAGCTCAACAATTCTGTCTCCTACAGTTGGGCAGCCAGACCGGTTTCCTACAACCTTCTTCATTATTCTAGGGAAGGGGCAGAAGGAAGGGAAAAAAAGAAACAATTTACTTCAAGGTACTATACTTAACAACTTTAACAGGCAAATAAACATCCAATAATCCATATGGGGAAAACGGCATGGCTCTTCACAAGTCACTGCTTATCCAAATTCTTCCCACCCATCCAGGCTCATCCAGGCCCACCCAGAGTCCTGACTTTGGCTCTTGCAAGAGCAAATGATGGCGTACAAACACCACTTTTGAAACCCAGGAAGAGATGGGTCTGAACTTCTCCCCTACCCAGAAGCTGTGAGATCTTGGACAAGTTACTTAACCTCAGAATCTTTCCTCATTCACAAACAAACAAACAAACAAACAACACCACAAAACCAGATTGGATAGCGACCTCTCGGGGATTCTTTGGTGGTTAAATGAGGAATTGAATAGAAAGTGCCCAATGTACTCTAGATACTGACTCAGTTTCTTATTACTCCAGCCCTTATTGACCTATTTCTGACCTCTACTCTTTGTAGCCTTTGCAGTATAAACTTCTTTCTATAGCTCCTTGTGCTGTTTCCTAGTTTTTTCTCTTACATCAAGTTGTTCCCTCTGATTAGACTGTATGACCGACTGGCACTATGGTTTATACTTTTCCATTACCCTTTTTCCACCCAGCCATCCATACAAACCCACACTTGTACTCAGAGAGCCAACATACTGGACTGTGCACCAACTTCACATGTGGCAGTACACTGCTAAGGGTACTGCCATTCTCCTAGAAGTGGTCATCACTGAGGGTGTTCATCCCTGCGCACGCCCAACAGCCCTTCACCAAGTCATGGGCGGACATGCTACTTCAGAGGACAAGAGCCACACACAGGACTCAGCTCTCTGGCTCCAAACTGACACTGCTTTGAGCACCTTGCTCCTCAGTTCTGGTCTCTAGAAGCAATTTCTTCCCAAGAATTTGAGGGTTTTTTTGAGAGGGAAGGATGGGGTAAAAGATCAGATAGTAAATACTTTCATCTTTAAAGGCCACATTTTCTCTGTGGCAGCTACTCAATTCCGCCACTGCAGAGCGAAAGCAGTCAGACAGTACATGGGCAATGGGCGCAGCTCCCGTGGAACTTCATTAACAAAAACATGCAGGGCTACACTTGGCCTGCTGAGCCATTTTCTCCCAACTCCTGGTCCACCCGGCATTCACTGGTTCCTGAACTTATGTGCACATTGGAATAATCTGAAGCATCAGAAGGTACTTATGTTTGTGTCCTATCCCCAAAGGTGGTGACTTAATTAGTCTGACATATGGTCTGGGCTGTGGGAGTCTGAAGATCCCCAGGAGGATCTAATGTACTGGCATGGTTGGAATCTACTGCTCTATACTCTTCCACAATTATCTTCCTAAATTAGAGACATCTGTCCCTATCGGCAATACTTAAAGACCTCCACAGACTTCCTCTTGACCACAAAACTAAGTCTTTGCCTGACAGACCACTAATATGCCATTCCTGACCTGCCTGGAAAGCACGTGTCCCTGGGGCTCCTACAGTATTCTCTTTGTTTACCCACCCCCTCATTCATCCATCCACTCATTCACCCTTTCACTCATTTATTCAGTACATAGTTAGGAGCACCCAGTGTATGCTAGGCACTTTTCTGGTGCTAAATGACAGTGGAGAACAACATTCAGTTTCTTCACTTCACGTGCTTACATAATAGCATCCACACCTTAATTAGTACTATGCACACTGTAATTAGTATAATCATTATGTAATGTATTAATTGTAATTATCAAAAGACTGGTATCTCCTTGAGCACGTGCTGGTCATGTCTGTATATCCCATACCAAGAAGCACTGAAGGGATGAGTGTTAACTGCACGAATGCACCCACTTCATAGGCGGTGCACACAGTGTATTTCAAAGTAAGCAAGAGGGAGGCAACAGGAGGCAGCGTGCAAAAGGGACAGAGTGGTGCTTAAGGGTTCAGAAGAACTTGGGTTTATCCAGATCTGAAATGAGCCATGTAGTACAGAGGTCAAGAGCACAGGCTTTGAGGTCAGACAGACACAGGGCTAAAGTCCATATTCCCCATGTGACCTTAAACAACTTCCTTTTGGTTTGAACCTCAGTTTCTTCATCTTTAAAATGCAGAAAGCAACAACACCTACCTCCAGGTTTGTGCTAAGGACTAAATAAGATGAAAGCATATAAAACACTTAGTATCTGAAGCACAGTAAGTGCTCAACAAATTTGAGCTGTGTTAATAGCCATCATAGTTGTCATCATTGTTGAAACTGCTATTATAACTAAAGCCCTTATCACAGTTTCAGCATATGGAAATCATTTAACAAATGAAAGCCAATGTTATCTTACTGATACTGCTTTCATCTCAACACTGCCACTGATCAGGTGTAGACCTTGGACTTGAACATAGGTAACCTCTCTGGCAGTCAATATCTTCAAGAGTAAAGTAGGAGCCAGGTGGGACATGATCGTTGAATACAGAACATTCATTCAACGTGTCTCTTCTGCAACATCTGACCTATTGCAACATGACAGTTTGGCTGTGCGGTGGGAAAATTTCAGTGGGCAGTTACCCGAAAGGAGAGAAGGGGCTCTAAGCATTCCTGCTTAGCCAGCTGTGCCAATCTAAAAGAGATAAAGAGAGGACTACAGCCACAAGCAAGTTTCCATGAAAGAGAAAACCCAGGTAGAGTTAACAGACTCTGAGCTGAAAGTTGGTTAATTGAAAAAGGACTGGATCAGGGCTTTCAGGAAACTCATTCTATCCAAATTAAATTATAAACAGGAACCTGCTTTGTTTCAAGATTTAGAAAGCTTGATGTTGAGTAGGGAATGGTATGAATTTCAGCAAAAGACAGGGAATTAGAAAAGTCAATAATGTTTTGTGCTGCAGATGTTGGAAGCACCTGTAATACCAAAGAATAAACCCCTTAATTTGAATTTTCTGGCATTCATTTATGAAGCCTCTGGAGCCTGTAGCTACAATGAAAACATATTATCCTTTTCACAGTGTATGTATTTACCTCCTGAAAATAATCTTCTTATCTCCTGTTTAGTGAATTATCACTTTCATTTTCCTCCACAAGAAATTACACACTAATAGAGGGCTTTAAGAGTTTACAATTTCTTTTTGTATTCTGATTTTAAAATTGAAAAATAATCTCCTTACTCCTTGAGCTCAGCCAGTGAAGCTGAAATCCTAATGTCATGGCCCAGTAAGTACAGAGATGTAATTAAATCACTCCACTGAACTAATTCACCAAGAGGGCCGCCACTGAAAGCTGTCTCTGCAATCTTAAATCCAGATTCCTTCGTCAGGAGTCCCAGGTGAACAAGGACCTGAAAAAGACAAAGAGGCACATGCTGATTCCCACTGAACCAAGAACCAACTCCACGGTAACACACTAAAAAGTGATCAACCAATTCTAACGCTGTGTTTACTTTGTAATGAAATCTCGACGTGGGGTAAGCAGTTTTTCTACAAAGGAGAAAGGAAGGAAGGAAATGATTTTTTTCATTGTTGGCTTAGAGGAACAACTGCCTTTGGTGCAGCTATGAGGAGGAGATACGGACAAGTAATCCTCCTTTTAAAAAGAAGGATATATTTGAAAACTAAAAATTAAAGGAGGGTAAGCCAGAACAATAAAATATTTTTAACGACATTGGGCTATTTTCCACAGCTGAAATATTTTTATGCTCATAACATGGAAAATTTCAAATACATACTACAGCAGACGTAACAATAAAGTCAATTCTGATGTACTTCTCACACAACTTCAACAATTATTAACTGTTACAAATCGCAGTTAATGAATACCCCTCATTTTTTCCCAACCCCTCTAGCTTTCTTTGAAGCAAATCCTAGATATCATGTTTTCACTGATAACTATTTCAATTTATATTTCTAAAAGAAACATATCTTCACTTAAAAAATACCATAACATCACTAATGCCCCTAGAATAGCTATTCCTGCTATTATCCAGTTCCCAGTTAGTGCTTACACTTCCTCAAGTGTAGTCGTTCCAGTCAGAAGTCGAAGAAAGTGCATAAATTGTAATTGCCTCATATGTCTCTTAGCTGTCTCTAACCTATGGTAATGCCTGATCATCCTTTTGCAGGGGCGGGGGTGCGCTGGGGTAGGGGTGGTGAGGGGCTTGTAATTCATTCGACAAAGAAACCAGGTTGTATATCCAGTGGTCTCTCTCACACTCTGGACTTTGCTGATTGTATTCATGGTAAATCAGTAATTAGATCTACAGACATGACCAAACCCATACTCAGTTTTTTTTGGCAACACTACTTCACAGGTGGTGCTATGCACTTCCTTCCACGGGTGGGAACAATCTTTGTTTTCTGATATTAGCAGCTATTGATGGTCACTAAATGTATTAGTCCATTAGGGATGTCAGAGTGGTGATATTCTCTCATTTCTTCTGCATTTATTAGCAGGAATACTTCTATAAAGAGAAGCTACCCTGTATCAACTATTTGAGCACTCTGAAATGCAGTTTACATTTTAACAAAAAGGCTAGTAAATACTTAAGTCTTTAATAGTTTCTTGGTATGACAAGGTGTTCCAACCTCATCGTATACATTCTGTCTCAGGCTCTAATCAGCCAATTTTTCTAAGGACCTTGGATCAAGTGGTGGAAAGGGCATTTAAAGATCAAAGTCCAGCGCCAACGATGCTCTAGGTTATCACTGTCTGTAGGCCTCTCAGAGCACACAGCTAGAAAACACCTTTCTCCTCACAGATAAAACTAATCATGAGTTCATACTGGTTTTTCCAATTCAAACACACGATCACAGTATTTTACATAACATTTCCCATCTGACATCTGTCATTCCTCTCTCCTACACTGAAAATCCCACTCTTCAAGCTCATTAACATAATTACTTGCTTTATTACAATATACACAATGGCTTCAGAATAAGAATATGACCACTACCCACCTCCTACATGATTAGTAAAAGTTATTAAAAATATTTTTTAATCCTTGCCTTAGGATATTTTATTATTGATTTTAGAGAGAGGAAGAGGGGAGAGAGGAAAGGGAGAGAGAGACAGAGAGACAGACAATGATGTGAGAGAGAAACATCAGTTGGTTGCATCCTGTACCCCCACAACTGGAGATCAAAACCACAACCCAGGTATGTGCCCTAACTGGGAATTGAACCTGTAATCTTTTGGTACACGGGATGACACTCCAACCAACTGCATCACTGGGCCAAGGCTGTTTAAAGATATTTTGGCAGGTTTTTTGCCCCTTGTGATATCCCATCAGAAAATGTCCAATTTACTATGTTCTAAAATCAGTAAAAATAGTCCTTCTTTATGTATTTGTATAAAATTAGATTAAGAAATGAGTTGATTTGTCTTATATTCCTTGTGATTTTCAAGTATTGCTTTTTATTGGTAATTAAGTTTTTACACTTCTGTAAAATGATTCCAGTATCAAATCTACAAAGTAAGATATATTCAGAGAAGTCTGTCTGGTCTCTTTACTTGTTGCCTCTATGCTATTCCCTCCGTCCCTTTATTGAGATTTTTTTATTGTGGTAAAGTATATATATCATAAACTTTACCATTTTAACCATTTTTTAAAAATATGAGCAAGAAGTGTATAGTATATTAAATTACATTTTATATGTGTGTATATATGTATGCATCTCTATGTATATGTGGAAGTACAGATACAGATTATTAGATAAATTCTCTCTCCCCTCAAAGAATAATGTTTACTGTTCTCCACCTAACGTCTCCCCACCTGGCAGTATACCCTGGAGGTTACTGCATAGGATCACTCAGAAATGCTCTTTACTTCTTCTTCCAGCCCATCTGCTCTGTGACCACGTACTTTTCTGCAGAAGACTACTCAGTGCCAGGAGGTTTGGAGCTGCTGTCTCATAAACTCAAGGGATCGAAGCAGAGCTGACCCACCAAACTGTGACTCGTGATTTGGAAGCACATCTATATTTTCTTTTATCAAAAGATATCAAATGAACCAAGTCAGAAATAATATCAAACACATTTTAAATTAATTTTTAGATATAGGAACATGTTGTTTACTCTGCTCAGTTGTTCATCATCAGAACAGTTAATCTAAAGCCACAGTCACTTAGTCTCTAACTAATAGGGTACAAAATTTCCCATTCTCAGGAGTTTTCTACAGGTTTTCTAGGCATTTCCTCATGAACTTGAACAAACTGGCTCGAGTTTAATTCACAGTATCCCTCTTTCAAGAATGTAAGCAGAAGTACCAACCGTACAGAGTAGTAATGGAACTCACCAGTTGCCCAAAGCCCGGGACTGACAAACTCCAAAAATATGAAATTGTCATGATGATGTAACAGGAAGTTCTCAAAGGTTGTATTCAGGTAAAGAAAAGAGGATTACGTTTCCTGACACCACTGAGAGAGGGAGCCAGATGGTTCAAAGGAAAATCCTCCAGGCAGATATTCTGCTTGGATGCACCTAGCTAGGCAGGATGACTGCAGCCGGGGAAAGGAAAACGCAGAAGGGGCTGCGGAGAGACGGGGCAGTTCACGCGGAAGGAGCATCGTTGAGGCATGACATTTCTCTCAGTCTTGTTTTTCAGCAAATTCAAATTTTAAAAGAAAACCGGCATCTAACTGAATGGAATTAATTACAAACTCACTTTCTTCCTCTTTCTCTTTTCAAGATTCTGCTTTTCTGCCAGGGACTTGATTGCTTGGATCCACGCATCAGCCATGCGCCGGATCCGCAGTCTCATCCACCGGAATTCTTCATGCTTTTTCATCATACTGTAGAGAATATTAAAATCCGTACGAATTTCAGCCTGGAAACAGAAATTTAATAAAAATGAGAAGATGAAAAGTCAGAAAGCATAATGGTTTTTCATGAGGTGACATTTGAAAACTTGAAAGAGGTACTCAATTAAATACAGGGCTTCAAAAGCAAGTCTTCTCTGCTGCACAGCTTTACTTTAAGGTCCCAGAATTGCAAATTGAAGCAAAGGCCCCCGACTGCTGATCCGCCAAAAGGGACATCATTTAAAAAATTAGAAATTGGGAAAGAAAGCACAGTTACTGCACAGCCCTGAGCTATGTTAAAATGCATTTTTTAAAATAAGCCTGTTTGATGTACCTTGAAATTCTTTGCACCTCAATTTATTGGCCATTTCATTCTACTGCAGGGCAGCGCAATCCTGGGAAAACTGAAGTTAGTTCTTAACAGCCCACCTGGTGTAGAGGCTGCCAAAAAGCCTCCTTCTGCCCACAAAATTAGGTAGGGAAATACATGCTCCTCCTCCAGGTTTTTCCCAATCCAAATAAAAGTTCATTACTTTCTAAAGAATTCAAAAGCCAGAAATAACATTTTCCTATTACAAGTGAATAAAATTTAAAATTTAGGCCAGAACTGTGTAAAAGCCAGGAAGAACATGTTTGTAATATAGCTGCATACAACCAGTGATTAAAATGACAGAAATAATAATAACATCAGTATTAATTTCATGTAACTGAATCAACTTTTTAGCAGGCCCCATGGTTCAGTCTGAACACCCACCTGATCACATCCCTCCTTCATTCAACAATTTCCCCAGATTCCCATGATCTAAGCTACAGGTCTTGGGTCAAATCCTGCCTGCTGCTTGTTTTCATACATGAACTTTTACTGGAACACAGCCATGCCCATGCATTTACATCTTGTCTATGACTGCCCTCTGTGCTACAAGGTCAGAACTGAGTGGTTGTGACAGAGACCTTATGGCCTACAGAGATGAGAATATTTACTATCTGGACTTTTACTTAAAAAGCTTATAGATCCCCAATGTAAAGATGAAAGACTTAAGCTTGAGGCATATAAAACCTTTCCCTGTCCCCCTAGCTACCTTTCCAATCTCACCTTTGCCCCAATGTATCCAAATGCCTATGGCCTTGTCCCACTGAACCGTGCTTTACTCCCTGAAAATGCCGAGCTCTTACATATTCACCTTCTCCCCTCACAGCTGACGCCCTTACCTCCTTGACCCAGTATAAACTCACTCATCATCATAAATTCAGCTCCAATGTCATCTCTTTGCAATATCTGCTCATCCCTGCAGGCTGAGATCACACTTCCTCATTAATTTCCATGGGTCTGTATTCTAGCATTCACACAGGTATGGTCACTACTTACAACTATCACCCTTATCAGACCTGAGTGCCTCCACATCTGGCACAAGGTCTTATTCATATCAGTAGCCTGTCACTTAAGGACCCTCGGAGAATTGCTCCATAAATATATGTGCTAACTGGCTGACTGATTTGGCTACGGAGATTTCCACAGGGGTGAGGATAGAAGTTCTTCAGTTTACCACTATTTCAGATAACAACTGGCATTTCTAGAAGACTCCACGTGTATCAACTGGCAGCAGACCCAAATCACAAGACTAATAAGAGGTTTCCAAAATCACTTACTAATGAATTATGATCAGCTTCTTCATAGGGATTTTTTGCTCTCCAAGGTAAACGAGGACACCAATTTTCAACCTGAAAAATATAAATCAGATGCACTCAGAACACTGGCTTACCCGTAAATGCATTAATGTATATACAAAGCTCTGAGCACAGTTCCTGACACGCCATGAGCACTATACTGAAGTGGGTTATTGTTATTGTCAGAGCCCCACACTTCAGCTAGGGATCCAGAGGCAGGTGTCCCCTCAGATGAAATAGTAATCAGCAAAGGTCCCAAGGAGAATATGATTACATTTTGTATCTTCCCTTCAAAATACTCTACAGTGATTGACTCCTTTATCATTTAATTCTCATATTTCTACACCAGGAGAAGGAGGGTTCTCACAGCAGAAAGTTAAAAGACCTGAACACTCCCTCAGGGGAATGAGAAGGGAAAGGTGCCTCTGTGACTTTAGCAGGAGGACAGGTATGACTTGTTACCTGCGGTGGCATGTCTGGCATTTGGGCCACAGAAATCAGTCATTTATCTCAGAATTAGAAATGCAACTGATGTTTAAGGCTAATTGATCCGGGCTTTCCCTCATTTCCCAGTTGTTCACTTCACACTAAGGACCAAGATGATAAAAACTACTGGAGACAGAGATGAAAGGAAAAAGAAAAAAAAAACCCTCAGTGATTTTGTGAGAACCACTCTGGAAGATGGATTGTTCTGTCAACGCACAAGGGTCTGGCGAGTTGTGGGGAGGAAGACAGAGAAAGTAAACGTGCCAGGTTTTACAGGAATCACTTCAACAAAGGTTATCAAAGAGGATTAGGCAAATTCACAATTTCTAGTAAAGAAAAAATAAAAAATGCATTCAGGAATATTGTTGTCTGACCTCAATGTCAAAACTGGCCATATAATTGTCAGACTGCATATCGCCCATTTACTAACACATAATGAGATTATTAAAGATGGACAGTAAATAGCCACTGAAATAATTTTTTCCTATGGCCAGGAGGACCTACAGAGATCAACAAAGCAAGGGGGTGAGGGATGACTTGGAAAGTCACTGAGAAAGCAGGCACACGTGGGAGACACAGCCTCCTGGGTCAGTGATGCAGAGTCGAACAAAATGGTCTGTCTTCCAGCTGAGAGTGAGTTTTCAAAGAAACAGCAGTTTCACTCACCTAGAAACTGTGCTTAAAGCAAGGTGATTTTTACTAAGACCAAAATAACTGTTGGGATTGCGTATAGCCAGCTGCCTGCAAATGAGCTGAAAGCGATTAAGCAGAGGGCAGCAAAGCCAGAGGGAGGATGGAGTCCCTGAAGAAGAAAAGCACAATATTCTCTTTTTCTTCTTGTGGAGTAAAATTAGACTTTACCATATTTGTGAATAACTTCAGAGGCTCCAGAGGACTCCCCATGAGGAAAGCCAAAATGGTTTTTACTCATAAAAGAAGAAAGTACTAACTTGCCTTGGATGCTCATCCTAATTGCTGAGACCTCACAGCAATATCACCATGAAAGGCAATATCTGGAGCCCCACAATAAGAAAAATGAGGGAAAACCAACAGAAAAGAAGCAAGAGGACGAAGCCCAGTGGGTCCCAATAGCGCCACACCCCTGTGTACCTTGCACTGCTGGGCCTAACTGAGTTATTTAGTACAAGTTAAATTTTTGTCAGTGGACTCAAGAAAACACTGCTATACAGCATATTTATAACATGAAGGCTTAAAATGGATTGCAGACCTCACGGAGAGACCCTCAACCCCACACAAAAGGATGACGGTGGGCAAGCAGGGTACATTGGCGGTCAGCGGAGCACCATCAAGATGAAACACTCCCTCGTGAACAGCATGACAGAGAAAGATGAAACAAGACTATGAATAAAGAAAATCAAGCAAAAGGAGAGATGTTAGTGAGATCGGACACCACTAAAGGAAAGGACATTTCCTCCTCACTTTTCCATCCTAAGAAGAATCTTCCAAAACTCACTCTGATGAAAATACAGTCCAAGGTGATATTCTGAAATACGACTTCCCTATAGAATACTCAAGGCTTTAATTCCTCTTTGAAACTGATCATTTATCTCAGTTCTTGTTACTCTAAATGACGAGATAATGCTTTCTAAGACTTCAAGGGCATTCCTGAAAGCATGGAAAATGGAGTCAGTCTATTTTAGCTTTTAGCAAGAAATCTTACTGCCACACATTCACTCATAATGGAGAAAAAAACAACTATGAGCATCTTGACACAGAATGAGGAAGGTGAGTTTTTAAGGTTGTTTTTGTATACAGTGACAGGATAACTGGTTAAGAAGATAATTAAATTGAACAGAAACCAATTTCACCATGGGGAGGGGTGGGAGCAGGGGAAAGCATTTCTTTCTGAAACCTCAGGGGATTACCAGGATTAGAAGAAGGTCAGCACTGGTAGTAATTCCACATTGTGAAATGAGCAACCTGTTCCTAAATAAGAGTCATCAATTATACTCAGGGAAAGTCTGCTCGAGCTAATAAATCAGCCTTCTAATCCCTGTTTTCTGTCTGATCTAGTCAGGCTCCTATAAGAAACTTTACCCCTCAGCAGGATGTCAGGACACCAGAGTGAGCCCACTGCCTTTCTCCTAGGGACACTCTTCCATTCCAAATCATCCTCATCATCTCCTCTCCCCTCCTGGGTCTCAGAACCCCAGTGTCCTATGTCAACCTGTGGCTGCTGCCATCCTTCACCCACTGCCTTGGCCACACTTTTCCACCTGTGATCCTTGGTGCTCTCCCTGGGATAGGGTTGTGTTACCTGCCCTCACAGGCACACTTGGCTGTGATGCTGGGCCCTCCCGCTGCCCCCCACCCTGCCTGACTGCTGGAGCTGGCAGCCCAGTGCACCCAAGCCCTCTGCCAGTGGAGGGACTGCACGTCCTTCACATAGTCCACAGATCACCAGTTAGTCCAAGACTTGAAAACTGTCCCAGTTCATGACAACACACACAAGAATCAATAGAGGAGCAGAACCATTACTCTAATAACCTTGGATTTGAAGGCAATGCTTCTTCCAAGGAAACTAATCTTTTTAGTACACTGGCCTCAAGCAACAAAATGAAGAGGCAGCGAAAACAGAAAAAGACCAGCTAGGCTAGACCTTTGGAGAATTATGTGCATTCCACCGTGAGAGCCTTGTAAATCACTTTTTTGAACGAGGAATATAAAATCAACCAATTTGATTTTTGACATCCCTCCTCCCAATGATTTAAACTTCTTTGATCTGAGGAGGTTTTGCAGCTTAATCATGAGCCACGTGAATCCCTAAAGTCCCTAAAGTCCCCAAGTCCCTAAACAGAGCTCAAGTAGGTCACACTTTCAAGGTCTGTGGAATGGACAATTCATTATTCTTAAAAAAAAAAGTAATGAAATGGCAGCAAAAACTAGAGAAGATTGAACATATGTGCGCATGTACTTGGGTAACTCCTCACAGTAACGTTCAATTCCTTGGAAATCATGATGATCAGGCTCTGTCACAGCTGTTTCTCCCAGGACCGATGGTGAGTGTTTCACTCTAACGGGTCCCCAACACAGAAATACATGCTGTGTTTTACAGACAGTGAAGCGCAATCAAAACTAAAGGAGAAAAATGCATAGGAAAAAGTTTGAGATTATCTCTGGATGATGTTGTTATGGGTGCTTTTCATTTTCTTCTTTACACTAATCTGCATATTATGACTTTTTACAATGATTTTTTACATTAATAATTTCTAAAGGAGTTATTTATATATGCACCCAATCATTTACTGAAGATTCACAGTATGGCAGGGTCTCTGGGAAAAAAAAAAGCTTGCATACATTATATCAGTTAATCCCAGAGGTGCCCTGTGACACAGGTGCCATCGTCCGATTACATGTGAAGAAATCAAGGCTTAGAGGAGCTGGAGACTTGCGAGGTAAGCTCAATAGTGAACAGAGGGCTAGGTGACACCTGAGACCTGTCGCTCCGCTGAACAGCACACCTTAGAGCCACCTTAGAGGCCACGCTCAGCAAAGACAAGAGAGTGGGAAAGAGGACTGGAATAGGCCAAATGGATTCCATGCCCAACTTTACAAACTAGGAATATAACCTTAAACCGTTTGGCTTTCAAGTTTTCTCATCTACAAAATGAAGGAATTGGCTCAGGTGACCTCTTAATAATTCTGTAAGATCTGCAGAAGATAATTTTACAGCTTGCCATCCTGTCAGGCTAGTTGGTTATATATCAAAAGAGTACAGTTGATCTAACATCTATTCATTTGATAAACTGATGATCCATATATATGCAAATGCACACATATATACACAAATTTGTTATACTGATGACGTAACAAACGAAGTTACTCATTAAGGTGTATGTTTAAAAAAAAAGGCTTCTCAACCTCACTCCGCCCCTGTTGCACTTCTCTATCTAAAGTTTCAAAAGGCAGTGAAATGGTAAAAGATACCTACACATGTAAATGGTTCAGCTCTCTAGACCAGTCCTGTGTACCAGACAAATGAGATGATTAATATTTTGTCCAAAGTGCTTGTTAGAAATGGATGTGTACGGGAGTGGGGAGGAGAAACTGCAAAGAACAAAAGGCACAACATATGGAACCAGACACTAGGCTGGTTAAGCACTGTGCACACATTATTTCAACTGGTTTTCCAATAACCCTCTGGGAAAGGCTGCTAATCATGCCAGATGAATGCACCGGCACCCAGAGCACCCACAGCTGAGCCCTGAAACCCGGTGCTGCCCCAGAGCAGAGGTGCTTATCCCCACTCGATACCCACAGAAACTTGACATTTGGTTCCTACAGTCCCATAAGCACAGTCCATTCTTCAATATTAGAGTGTCAGTGCCTTAATCTTCTACATAAAATTCTTCAAAATGGGTTTACTGTGCTCCTGCTGCTTGGCGTATTGTAAGCTATAAAGTAGCTCCCTGTTTATAACTCTCATCCAATGTCCTGCACATCGAACAGAACATTTCTACCTCAGAAGGGTTGCCAGGTTTAGGTGGGCATGTATGAGCGAAAAAAACCAAACACCCAGTTAAATTAGAATTTCATATAAATGATTT